GGGATCGGTTTCTAGCTGCTGCGGAACTATTAGAATAAACATACTTGTATCACGATAACTACTTCATCGAGCTGTTTCGTTAAATTGATGCCCCGGTCTGGTTCCACCCAACCACAACCACGGTACACGTATTACCTTCAAAGTTCCAAGATGCCGATTTGTCCAGAATCCCTTCACTCTGAATTTGCACTCATTTCCCTTGCGTCACTTTCAAAACTAACGAGCGTCGAGCAGTGTCCCAGTCAACAACCCGAAATGCGCCTAACGTATGCTGCATTAATTATCGCGGCAGCTCTGGTTACTATCATTGATGGCACTGACACCGCTGCGGCCGAGACGGAATCGACTTTGAAAGAGCACGCTTCGACCAAGAAGACCAGCGAGTCATCTGAGCTAACGGCAGATGCCTTGGAGGAAAGAGCCACGAGTCGCAGAAGTGGAAGCGGATACAACAGGAACCAAATTTACGGAATGCACACGAGTATCGGAATGATGTACCCGAACAAAACGCCATATCTGAACGAAAAACTGCGGCAGTATCTTCAACGGATGATGAAAAAGAAAGCCACGACTACCCGCCGACTTCGAGCCTAATATGTACTTGGGCATATGAAACAACGATGCTGTGGCCGACACGGAGACATACTGCTTTTTTTTTTTACCGACTTGGACTAAGTGAGGATTGACAAACGTAGCATCTATTTTTGTTATTGCTGGCAAAAGCGAAGCGAATGAAAATAAGGTACAACGCTGTAATCAGCTAGTATAGTCTACCAATGATAAACATAATACGACCTGTTTGTTAACCTGTAAGTCGTGTTGGGTTGTCTTATCCATCACACAAGTGCTTCGTTGTCCTCCAGAATCTGTTCCAGCCTCGTTTTGGTTGGATGGTACTCGTAGAGATGATTACGAGAAGATTGACCAAAATCGCCACTAACGGCAGATCCCCATTCTTCAATGTTGCTCTCACTGTCCACGAGCTGATGAGCAGTGGAGCATGAATTTATTAATTTGTATATTTCTTCTCGGCAACACACAAGAAACTAAAAAAGCAACTATTTTCAATATTCTGCACAATTCTAAAGTGGCCAAACACATGGCAGCCTGGCACCGAAACTACACCTTTGTGCACTCAACTTCGTAGAAAACGGCAGTCTAACTCGTAACTTAATAATTGGCAAATAGAAAAATTACGGTAAGAGACCCTAATCAGTATTCAATGTTGAAAATACGGCAATCAACCTCGTTGATTATTTACCGTACACCATAGGTATTCCTTCAGCAGCAGCGTTGACAGCCTTGCTACAGTGAAGCTCCATACGCGACACCAGAACCGACGTCATGCACTTGATTTCCGCCTTAGTAGCCCTTTTCAGAACGTGCATCTGCCTTTCAGCGAGCGTTATCACGTCTCCGTTCTCGTCCAGTTGACGGCTGCGATCGCAAATTTCCTCGCGGTAGATTGGTAAGTGCCTCTTGATGTTTGCCTTTAACACACTGAAACAACCCTCCGTGGGATTGCACATGGGGGAGTACGGCCCCAGCCGTAGCAGCTCCATGTTTTCGTGCTCGGTAACACAATCATCCGTCTGTCGGTGGGCGGGAGCATTATCAAGAACGACGACAATCTTTTTACCCTGAAAGAAGCTGCGGAACTCTTGCGACGCCTTGACCGACCTGCGTCTTGATGCTCCTTTAATTTCACGGCGAACATACGCCGCTTTTCGATATTACTGTCGCTGTAACACGTTGTGGGCTCGACTCTCACTTGTTTTACGGTAAACAGCATGCCCTTCAAGTGTCAGCTAATTGTCGACGTGTCCACTTTAACTCCACAGTCAAGAAATAACATTGTCCTCATGGTGTCCAACGTGTAGGTACAGTTTTCATTTAAGTACTCCTCCAGGAGGACCCTGGTTTCAGGCGGCATCTTCACGTGCTTCGCGCCTCCCCGAGGGAGGTTGTCCACGCGTCCACGCCGTACTATGTCCTAGGCAGTAGCCACAGGGATACCATTGAAACGGGCAACAGCTAGCCAGTCTTCTCGACCGGCACGATGGGCTTCAAGGACTCGCTGCTTCTCGATGAGGGTGTAGGGCGTGATTCGGGAAGGCATCTTAGCGACAAATGGTAAGTTAGCAAATGAACCAGACCTCTGTGTGTTCTGAGCGCGTTGTACAAAACCTCGGACTTTGGCGCGAGTCGAGCAGAGCCTGTCACTTTGGCGCGAATCGGTCGCGCAATTCTTGTCCGACGTTGACTGCCGTATTTTCAACATTGGATACTGATTAGGGTCTCTTACCGTAATTTTTCTATTTAAGTTACGACTGCCGTTTTCTACAAAGTTGAGTGCACAAAGGTGTAGCATTTCTTTACTGCATTGCGGCTGACCTACTAGGATGTACTTAAATAATGCCTAGCAATCAAAAGTCTATCGAACTATAGCGTTTGGTGAAAGATCGAAATCCGCATCGTTGTTGTGCAATTCCATGTTTAGAGTATAGATTGGTACGTTCCGAAGAGTATAAAAATACCGTGATAAAAACGTTATTTAGTCAGAGGATGTCGTGAGT